AACATTTTAAAAGGATACTAATATGTAAAATATTTTCATGAGCACATTGTATACAATATAAATATTAGATAAAATACATTATAATAACATTGAATTCGTTCATAAACTAATTGTAGTCAATTCTACAAACCTTAAAACTTATAAATATATATTTCAATGGTACATTGCGCGGTTCGATCACCTTACTACCTAACACTTAATTCATTTTTACTCATTATTCCAGTGAAATATAAATAAGAAAAGTAGCTAAGTGTTTGGCTTCTCATTGCTTTGACCTTATTTATGGCAATGTAAATTTAACTTGATTTACTTTGAGTATTAAAAAAATACTAATATTATAATAAATGAAAACCTTTTCATACAAACAAGTCATTCCAAATAACCTTTTCAGTGAAAATGCATGTCGATTCCTAATTCTTCTTAGTTTTTAATCAACAACTAATATACCATATACTTATTTACCTAAGTTATTTGTAATTTTAAATTGTTGATTATTTTACTTTTTCCGTCTAGATCATATGAATTCCATGTCATTGTTTTTGACAAGGGTAAACTAGTTAGAAAGAAATAAACAAATAAATCACAAATATGTTTTCTTAATATTCGAAAATAAACATTTTGTTATGTGGTTTATGAAGACTATAAATTTTTACTGAATGAGAATCACTCTTAAGAAAGTAGAAAAGCCAGGATGAAGCAGGTACCCAGTATCCTTTAACTGGGAATACTTTTTCATGTGGTATTATTTCGTACGGATAAAAGACTATTGTGATACGAACAAGCTAAAGAAGAATGAAATGAGATTTTAAAAGATTCATGTGTATCACTAGTGTTTTTTATATACTCAGAATAGAGATGGTTATATTGAAATGTTGGTGAATTACTTGGTGCTATTTTGTAGCTATTTGTGATCTCATTCTACCTACCAAGTTGATTTCACGTACACATGTAGGTGATTCGCTGTCGTGTATACTATTGTTTTATGTTATATGACTTGATCCACTCGGTCGGGATTCTTTTACTCAAGTGTTATGCTACTTAGGAAGGCATACCTCCAATGTTGATGCTTCAAGTAGAAACATACCCAATATATCTAGTTTTGCAAGCAGAGATGCTACTACTGATCTGTTTGATCAGCGACTGAACTCCTGTTCATAATGAATGTTCACGTCTTAAGAGGCACATCAGTTCTAGGAGGTTTAGGGTTGTATCGTAATGTCAAGTGCCAATAATTTCAAAATTTTAATTCGGATCTACAGAATTATTTTCGCAAACTACCTAAGATCTAACGCAAATAGTTTGTTACCACAAGGATTACTTATTTGATTTTCCTATTATGAATGTACAAGGGGTGGTATCATAACAAATTATTATTGATTATGTTTGATATTTCTCTGACAAGCTATTGAAATTGTTTACACACAAAATTTCTTGTTAGTAAATGTCATCCCACAAATATTTATTTTCAGTTTACACGTCATTTCTATGTTGTGTATAAATGTTTCATAATTAGATCACTTAATAGACATTTGTTTATGTGTTATGTATTTCAGGAAATATCATCAAACTTAAGAAAAAACAAAACAACAGTTTTCAGTTAGTGTTGTGCTTCGAAATAACCTAATTATGAATATACTATTCACCATTTAAACAATTATTTATATTACAATGAAAACTGACTCGTAATAATGTATTATAACATTTACCCTATAAATAAGCTAATTTTCATTATAAGCATCAGAGTATAGTTAAACTATATAGTTAAACTATTTTATTTTGAAAGACATCAGATTTTGAAATTCCATACAGGTATTATTGTTAGATAGTTTTAAAAATTATATAAGGTAGTAGATAGATTTTATACATAAAATGACTGTCGTTACCGATTGTAGAGTCAGAACGATCAAAGTCGATTATATATATATATATATATATATATATATATATATATATATATATATATATATATATATATATATATATATATATATATATATATATATATATATAGGTTTAGTGAAACTTTATTGATATTACTTAGGGATTATTTATTTGCTTGGCTTAGTCAGTAATTGACATTATTGATCTTATACAAGTTGCTAATATACTATAATCTAATAGAAACATGATCAATACATTAGCTTTAAAAGTAAATTGAGCATCATAATCTATTGATCGATTGAATTCAATGACTAGACGGTATGATATTGATTAATAATTACGTGTTGATTAGTATGACTTAACTTTGCGTCATAAATCCCTATTTTGTTTTTGTTTTGACAATTATAATAACATAAAACTAACTAAATGAAAAACGGTAGCAAGAATTACTATGATATATTGTTCATCATATGTGTGTTTGAGTGCTTTGTGACCGGATGATATAGACATCTTTTTAATGTTATACTGAATGATGCAATGATAATAAAGTTTGGGGTCAACCACTGAGGTCAACACGAATAATCACTTTCATTAATGGATGGGATGCATGAAGTCTCTGGTGTAAGCAGTATCAGAGGAGAGATAATCATCATTACAGCGAGCAAACAGTGTTGTTGAATCTTTTCCATGTACGGATTATTGCAAATTTTTACAGACTAACAACAGTTTGCTTACAACTTAATTCATATAGGAAGTAGATTTCGAATGAAACAATATCACGTTTTATAAAGTGCTATAATTTTATGCTTCGGCATAGTGTTTAGGATTGGTGGATGTAAGATATAAGTTCTTTATTATTTGGGAGAATATTAAATTAGCGTGAAGAAAATTAACCAACATTGAGTAATGTAATTTCTAAATTCCATTTTCAGAATCAGTGAACAACCTCATCGATTTCCATTGTGATTCGGCTTGTGTATGACTTAGCACGTGAGGAGAGAATGAATACATCGCCTAATAATCATCCGCATTCAGGAAATGCTTAGCCATGCTTTAACAGTTACACACACAGTTTATATGAGCTATAACGGTCAAATGACTGATGGCATTATTTTTCACCACACAGCTTGCTATCGGAAGAGCATTTGATAGAGAGGAGTTTATTTAAATTGATTCGCGTATGTAACTAAAAAGACCAAGCCATGAAAGCAATGTTTCTCCTATCCTATAAAACATTTGTTTACTTATTAGAAGCTAGTGGTTAACTTTTTAAAGCGCTTTAGATATGCTAAGGCACTGCACTTAAACTAAATGTCTGAAATTACATTCTGTAATAACTAAGTAAACGGGGTCAAATTGACGAATGATGTGAATAAAGCCATGTTGTAAATTATTGATAAGTTTTTCTGCGTTTTGTCGTATACAATATTTTCCTCTATTCCACGGATAACTGGAGCAATATTTATAGCCCTACACTTGTACAAATTAGTTTTATCTTCATTTTTGTAGCATGGTATTTTATATGTGATGCTCCAACAGTAAACTTTAATATTCATTAAATAAAAGAGTTTTCAGTCTAACAAGTTATGTCTGGGTGTTTTTTTATGCGATGTTTCCTATAAGCGAAGTTTATTTAGTTGAAGGAAAAATGGAGAGTAAGTAATCCATTGAAGAAATCACCTCTTTGTGATTTCATCTTACTAATTGTACAATAGTTAATAGAAGTATTTCATCTCCGCAAAACCCTATTCTAATACTGATCATCATGTACTCATTAGTGACTGGTTTAAAAATGGATTTTCTGTCCGGTGCTTCCGAGTTTTCAATGATAATTTATTTATATTCTGAAAAATAATAATAATTACAGAATTCACGCCAGTTTACAGGCATGATGATCTAACTTATATCGATTCATGAATTCAACTATTGAAATAAACATTTCATTTTACAAAAACAAATCATGTAATGTTTTCTGTTTATAATAATATTAGTAGTAATGATAATGTATGTAGTAAAGAATAATTCTTAAAAAAAATGTTATTCTTGTTATAAAGCTCGAAATATAAGTCATTAATAAAAAGATTATTTTAAGACAACCTAAAGTAGTAATTAAAGACGATAAGAAAGCTAAAATAATTCCATTTGTGTTTTATGACTTAAAAAATATCATAGAGTGATAATTTGTATAACGATAGATTATTGCTATTGTAAGCGAAAAAAACAAGATAAATTTCGTTTGTCTGTATAGGAAAAAACTTCTGCTTATGATAAAGTCTTTAGCATAATACAAGCGAAAAGATTATACGCCTATGGCAACTTTCCATTAGCTTTGGAGATTATATTGAATTAGGAATTTATTATGATTAAATGACCAATCTATATAAGGCATCACATTGTCACTCAAATTTTAGATCTTTTCATTTTTTTCTCACCATTAACAAGACAAGTGTTCTCGAACATTTATCTTGAATAATGCTAAGAACATAGAATGATCAATCACTACAGGTTATTCGAACTCGTTGTTTTGTGTAGCTTGCCTTCTGACAATACATATCAAACACTTATCTAAATATCAACAAGAGTAACTGACTTTAAGGGAGTTGCAAATTCATATTTATATGCAAAACATCTACTCTAGTATAATTGTCAGTGATCTGATCAAAGGTATCAACAGTATACTTTTTCTTGTCGTCTTAATAACTATTTGTCTTCAAATAATACTACAAAGCATATCCATATTTATTATTTAACTTAGTCAAATATGCGTGGTATATAAAAAGAGGAAATACCTGAGTTGAAAAAAATCAACCATTATAGATGATCATAAAAATGTACGGAATATATATTATGAAAAGTTTTTTTTAAAATAATTTAATTCATTTATTATATTGCCAGGTTTCTGCACTTTAATCTCTATATAAGTTGGTCTATTTCTATACATAATGTGAGCTTTTAATCTTAGTAAACAAAATTATTCACAATTAATTTTTAACAGTATTTCAAATTTTTATGTTTCCTTAAGTTTTTAAAATCAATCTCTTTTAACTATAAATAAATTCAAAACAAATAAACTTTCAGCAACTAATATTTTAATGTTATATTTCTTTTCTTTTTTCTAGGTACACATGTTATGGAAGGTTCTGGTAAAATGGTTGTTACAGCTGTTGGAGTGAATTCGCAAGCTGGTATTATATTTACATTGTTAGGTGCAACTGAAGGAGACAATTCAACTGCTGCACCACCACCTCCAATTAATTTAGCTAATGCTAATGAGATGACACAAATTTCAAGGAATACAAATCCAAACTATGATATAGATGGTAAACAACAACATGAAATAAATAAAAATCCTAATGATCAATCTAATGGTAATAAACATTCAATTAAAGGAAGTGGCCATGTCGCTTTCAGTGGTACATCTGAAGGTAAATAGAATTTGATTATTAGTAGATTGCATATAACATGTTTACTTTTGGGGAATATATAAAATTTGTTACCATATATGTTGAATTATAATTATACGGAGGTATTAAACACCATTTTAATTTGTTATGAACTATTGATAGTGAATGTTAATTACATACCAGTTGAATATTAATGATAATCATATGAATAAGTCATCGAAATAACTGTAAGCAAAAGAAACAAAACTTATTTTTTAAAATACAATTCTTTCTTAAATTATTATTTAAATATGCTTTCAAGAGGGATTTTCGTCACAAGCTTACATTTGATAGTAAAATATGATTATTTCTAGTATAAGTAGTTTATTATCATTATGGGTATCCTGAAGTTTTAGTTAGAATTACAGATTTTTATATTCACTTCAATCCGGAGTGAAAAATCAACACACTGATGACTTTAAGATTGAGTTGTATGCTTTATGTTCTTAACTTATACAATTATCACGAAGTACGATAGCCGATTTCGATATGCGGACTTAAACAAACAAACAAACTTATGACTCATACACTAGTACAAGCAGCCTAGATTCTCGAACAGTCCTTTTTCCTCCTAGCCCTACCTGTCAAGTCCAGAACGCTAATCCCAGTCTCTGCAATACGAATCATTTATTTAAAACATACTTGGTTCATATAGAAAGAAAATCAGACTACATCACACCATAAAGTGGAAAGTAACATTTGTACAAGATCAAGCCAGAAAGAGGTCGTGACTAAGAAACTATTACTAATAAATTCAAAATATCTCAAGGATACTAAATCGTATGATAAGAGTTAATAAGTCAAATAAAAGCTTATAATGCAATGAATATAAATATACATATAATACAGTCACTTATTAGTCATACAATTAAAATATACGTATAATATTAGTTCATCAATAGATCCCAACAGTTACTTTTCATCATTCTCGTTAAGATATAACAGTATAAACTATGGTATAACTGAAGTAATGAAATATTATTTTCAATCTTATGTGTACATCATAGAGAACCCATGACTAAAAACATTTCACTATTTCTATTACCTTATTTAAACGTATAGTGAAAAATTATTTTATTCATAAGTCATATAGTTATTTTAGCTGATATCATGAAAATGAATTAGTTTCAATTTATTTTTGTCTATAAATGAATTGAAGTTATGTTACAACACATAAACTGGTGAATGTTTTATAAACAGATGTTATTCATAACTCGTAAGATTCTTCTGACATATTGTTGTGAACAATGAAGTCAAGTGAGGAAAACTAATTTATTGTTTAATGCAAAATTATAGAGTTCATTCGTAAACTATGAAAACCAGACATTAAATACAATATTTGTACATCTCCCTTCAGTTGTCCTTTTACACAGTTTATGATTTTTTTTTCAATCTTGATGTTATTACAATTGCTCTCTCTGTTTATATTCCTGTTCTATACAATTGAATCTTCTGATTTTTCCGCTGGCACGCATTCCACTTCTGATCGGTGTTACATACTACTAATATCTGTCAACATATGTAACATACACTACAATATAGTTTAAAATAAAAAGCTGACTGAGAAAAATTATATGTATTTAGTTTTATTAGAAAGGGTTTTGTTGAGATTTTAGAAATTTCACTGATTGAGATCATGAGCCAATTGAAGCTAGGCCACCTGTCAAAATCTGGAAGCACTGAACGGCCGTTTTGTCCTATTGTGAAACTCCTCAGCAGTGTACATTTACGATCCCTCATCCCGCGAGATTCGAACCCAAGACCTATCACTCTCGCGCCAGGCGCTTAAGTGACTAGACCACTGAGCCGGCCGGCATTCAACGGTGTTAATGTCTAACTTTGACCAATCCACGAAGTTGCGCCACCGTACACCATTGTCGTCAGTGAGTTGATATCTCACAACAGACATGGTTGAACTCTAATGGTAACGTCTTCTCACTAGAACTCCAGGAGTCCCATACTAGGACAAAATGGCCGTCCACTGCTTTCAGGTTTTTATTTTTGTCAAAACAGATGATGAGATGAATTATTGTCATAAGTATGATTATTATCATTATTGATCTGTTCTAGTTAATTTAAAAATGGAAATGTATACAGGGAATATTTTTTCTCTTGCTCCACAGTCATAAATTCACAAATTAAACATTCATCGAACTTTAAAATCAGCTATTAATTGGTTTGGAAATTCATAATATAGCGCGGTCATTTTCATTTTGGGGTTACTGCTTCATATATAACACAGTTGTCCTCCACTGGTTACAACTTCTCAGTACAAATTTTAGAAGTACATCTAGAAGTCAGTCACTAGTGAGCACGTAATAATTATCAGTACAAGTGGCTTGTATAGCTTGCTGAATGTTATTGAAATCACGAAATTCACTCAGATCAACAAGTACCAAAAAAACAGAAAGCATTAAATAGCTGGTAGGGTCGTAGTTTTGAAGGGTTGAAGAGCCGTTGCCTGACTATAACTTATGGATGAACCAATTAAATTTGAGACAGCAGGTCCTGAATTTTGGCGCGAAATTCACTCACCCAATTAGGTACATAGCATTTTGGCATGATAGCTTGTGCTAGTTGGTGATGGAAACCCTGACTATTATTCCTAACTTTGGCGTTCTACTGTAAATTTTATTTCCGATTCCTTGCGTTTATTTATGTCATTCATTTGACTTTAGTAGGTTGGTCGATATCCTTAAGGTCACTCAAGCATCTTTCAAAGGTCACCTACAAATTATAGTCTCACATCAGGCGTTTACTCAGACGAAACATCTGTCACGTGCCTCCTGATTTTTAATGACTGTCTAGATTGAGTCTGTTCGTTTTTTCAATTATATTCAAAAGACTTCAAGAACTTTCTATGCATACATATATAAAGGTGGAGAAATGGTGGGGATGTTGTTTATTTGAAGTGATCGAATACAGAACTGATTATCTATAACATACAATGGCTTACAATTAATAGATAACTTTCTAAATGTTTATGTATGTACGTTTTTAGTTTTTTTCCTCCAGGAGAAATGTGATAGGCAACGAATAAGCAGCCAAAAATAAATCGTTTTATTCCTCATTGTTATTTGAATAATAATAATAATTATTATTATTATTATCATAACCATAATAATAGTTATTACCATTATTGTTATTTCTATCCTCCTTTTGTATTCTGAAGATATAAAAATAAATTAATAAACATTGTTTGAATCTTCAGTAATAAAGATTTTATTATAATAGGCTTTAAACTATAGTTTGTGTATACATTTATGCATGTAAGAAGAACTTAAGTTAAGATTCTTATCAAATTAATTACCATCATATAAGATATGCAAAACTAATTTCTTCAAATTAAATCATCAAGTGACCAATAATTTAGTTATAAATCTTTCTTATTCTCTAAACGCACGCAATGAAAATTGCAGTGATATTCATTTGATCCATTTCTTAAGAAGATAGATATGAAAATAAGTTTAATCAAAATTTCTTCATTTACAGTTAAATAAATTCATAAATTTGTGTCTTAAGTTGACTAGTGGTGTACAGCACGATGGAGAGTATTATATTTTGGTTGACAAACATACATGACTGAGTGATACAAGTAACAAAATAATGTTTTTTTTGGTATCATAAATAATTTTAGAAGATAGCAAGTTATATTCGGTTTTCGAATGTATTTTCGTAATTCAGGACGGTTTATTTCTTAGAACTCAATTTTTGAGCAGTACGAATATCATTATGACGTAAGATAACAACATAAGAGCTTCTGATGATAAAATCAGTATAAGGAAATTACAATAATTGATATCTCAAATAACGTTACTGATAATTTGTGGTAACAATAATGTTACTCTAGTTAAAAGTAGGCTTTAAATGACAGACCGTTTTAGTATTTGAAATCACCAAGTTAACCTTAGAAACTCACATACATTTTCTTTCGAATTCTTCTCTTTTTCATATCAATTCCATTGATTTATTTTACTTAGTTCTATCAAAGTGAATCTGTCAGCAGTTTTGTACAGTTTTGTGATAATTTTTATCATGAACTGATATCATGCAGAAATCGATAATTGTCTTGATCAATGACTCATCAGAATTGCACAACCACGATTGAACACACTATGGATATCAGAGTGTTCGGATCTTGAATTGAACAGGATACCTGAAAACCACTTTTGAGCAATCCATTGAATCGTACTTTGAAACCCAACTTATCTTAGGTACAGTTGGAGTTGATGTAATGTTCTTTTTTGGTTACAATTTCAATTCCCATCCGGATAGCGCTATCATTTATAGCTTTTCTACGCCACTCCAAGAAATTTATTTTGCGCGCACATTATCATGGGATAGATGGCTGATTTGAAGTTTAATCATACTGTTTTATTTGTGCACTACTTAGAACGTATTTAGTTCATCAATTTTATTTTATTTTATGAGAAAAATACAAAGTCAATCTATGTCCCTAGTTTGTGCTTATTTCACTGGGGAAGTGAATTAATCTGTGACATGATAAATTTCATGTCAAACTACTGGAGAACACTTTAAGGACCCTCTAAATTATGAAAATATTTAGAATTCACTTGAATGATTTTATTTTTTTTCCTTGACATTATAAGTTCCTCAGCTGGTAAAAATCTACCATCATTTAGATGATATTGACTCAGCACTAAGCTACCTGCAAAAAATAATCATATTATCGAATCACTTTGCAACTTAATGCTTCTTTTCAAACGATTAATCAAACCCTGTCATTAACTCAAACCAATCAGAATATATTGAATAAAATGAAATTTTCACTTTTTGTTGGTTTATATTTTTAAAGAATAAAAATGCTCATGTCATTTTTGAATATTCAAATGTATATATCTTGTATAACCTTGTATATTTGTGTTAAATTATCATTATTATTTGTTTGACCTTATCCTCAGGATGTGAAATTCATGCTACAAATAAGCCTCGTTAATTTGAAATTTCAACTTTAAGGTCAA